TATCCCACCAGTTTTTTCAACTCCATTCTCAGTAGCGCTGTACAAGGAGCAGGGAACTTCAGAGCACTGTCCATTGCCAACAACTCATTTCTTAAAGTGTTACTTTCATAGAATCATTTAAGTTGGAAAAGACCTTTAAGATCATCGAGTCCAACACAATGACCCTGCAGAAAACTCAAAAGTGTTCACAACCATCTTGAAAGGTTATCAAACCAAGGCAAAACTGCAATTTTTTTGGATCCCCCCTCCACTTTTTGCCACTCTTACTTGTCCCTACTGGGAGCAACTATATGACCTGTAGGCACTGAATAAGGAAGGGTTTATTCTGAATTTCTTGTCACAGTTCAAAGCAAACATTCATAACAGTTTATTACACTTTCTTCTAGTGCACGATGTTTTATAACCAGTAAAAATAATTTTCATTTTCAGTTGTTTACTTGACTAGTCTCAAGTCTTTTAAGTTTTGATCTTTAAATAATTCTAAATAATACTTTCAGTAGCAGAAGATGTGTAAGGGCTCTTAAATGTTCACTAAAACAAAGGAAAAAGCCTCAGAGAAACTACAGACTGTGTTCTCCTTGTCTTTCCTGTAGCTCTTTAATTTGTAAGTTTAAAGAAGTTTTTAAACACCTTTGCTCTGCGATAAAAGGACTGTTTTGTCCACATAAAGATGCCAGAATTGAGATTTCCCCCTGCAGAACATGACACTCTCCTTGCTAGTGGTGCGCTTTCCAGGTGGCTGTTAACAGGACACCTTGGAAAGGCTAATGGCACCAGCTTGCTTACATTGCCTTTGAATCAGGTAGGGGAGATAAAGCAGCAATATAACTTTACAATGAAAATTTGAGTGGGAACAAACACTATGGTGTGTAGTATTTGAAAGCAGATGCCACTGAGATTCAGACTGGAATGACTACAGGCTTTTGAAATATATTTATGGCTATAGTTAGTGCAGAAAGATGCAACAGCTCGTATTTTCAAATGAGAGAAAAAAAAAAAAATTGGAAACTCACCAACTGCAGTGTAGGAAGCAATTTGCTTCCTGGAATTGAGATTTTGGGATAAAACCTGATACCACTATTGTGATATTTTCCAATAGCAACCATATGGACAAAATAATAAACTGGTTTTAAAGATAGATGTTCTCTGCTGTTTTTGTCTTGGTACCATCCAAGCTTTACATCTATTGGTAAAGACCATCATAAAAAGAGACAATTAAAGCATTAATTGCATAAGGTCAAAATACGAGGTGAGTGTTGGCATTTTGTCAGAGCTTTAGTTACATTTTTGTAAATTGGGTTTAAGTTTTTTCCCTGGTGTCTTAAGAGTACACCAATCTTGTTTCTCAGTTTACCTACATCCTTATGTGTTATTTTAATCAACTGGATCATTTTAACCCAGGTCTGTCTGAAAGGCAGAGTGTTCAAAGAGAAAAATCCACACATTTTATAGGCTTGAGATGGAAGAAAAAAATCCCATCAGTGTCTAGACAAGAAGCTGCACCTTGAGCTCACACCTGGAGATGAAAATCCACACATAACCACTGTAGAAAGTAACTGTTCAGAGGAAAACTAGTGAAAACTCACAATGTGCAAAGAGCCCAAATCTGTGGGAAACAAGGCCTCATCTGCGTCAGTGCTTATGGCAACATTTAATTAAACGTACGCTATGATTTAGTGGTAAGGTACATGAGCGCATATGTCAATCAGCCCACGGTACTTCAGAAAGTAGCACTTGAGGGCTGCAGAGGCGCTAAGCAGCTTAGCTCCCTAAACCTGCACAGACCCAGTTCTGTGCATTTTGGATGCAAAGGCTGGTTAAAAAAACTGGACAGTAAAGTGTAAATAGCACTACAGAGAGCCTCAGTTTAGAGGGGAAGCTGCACCAGCTTTGTATCATGCTAGATCACAGAGGTTTAAAATAAACACACTGCCCTTGTCCAAACTGGTAACAGAAATGAAGACAGAAACTCAGAAATATGAACCACTACCAGAGTCAGAAATTTGTGCGGAGGATTAGGCTGCTATAGACAGGTGCATTTTGACGTGTACCATTTGCCTCTGGGCTTTCATCACTGGAGTAGCGTCCTGATGCCTTACCTTAGGACCAGCAGGAAAGAGCAAAGCTGGGACCATCATGGTTCCAGACAGAAAGTTTTTACCTCTGACCATCAGACATGATCTCGCATCACATTGTTAAGGGAAAACAAATGCAATTATCAGAGGCTGTGTTGTAGCTTCCTAAGATTGGAGTTGGCAGAGCTTATTTGATAGCCTTGAAGATAAATGGGAAGAAGTAAGATTACACTTATCTCAACTTTGTTTTTATTGTATGACATTGAACTATCTGCTATAAAGAGGGTGATACAAGCAGCTTGCAAAGTATAGAGGCTAACTCCATCTTCCAAAATACACCTGAGCACAATTAGAGTTTTCATTTAAGGGAGGCCATGAAAATTAACATTGGGGGGGGGGGGGGGGGGGTGGGGGTGTGTATGTACCTAACATAACTGAGGTCTGAGATGGATGGATGGATGGGTAGGAATGGAAAGAGGTACGGCACTTCACAGGAGAGAACAGCAACGACAGAGCACCAGGGAAGCATAGGAGAAAATATAGACATAAAAATGGATACATATAGCAGTTAGACATCTTGGTAGGTAAATGGGACTACAGCCAGGTCAGTCAGGTAAATATGACTGAAGCCTTTTTTTTTTTTTCCTTTTTCAATGTATGAAATAGTACCTGAATGTATGCACTATTTTTAATGAATTAAATAGTCTCTCTGAGTAAGTATTACAAAAGAAAAGCACACGGAAGAAAATAAAAGCACTACCCATTCCGTGGACAAAAACAACAGTAGATTCTTTCAAATAAAAACCTAATTAAGACAGGTTTTGGGATTCCATCAGAAGAACAGCGAAGTAGAATGAAAATAGTAAATGTCTGGCAAATGTTTGCTTTTCTCCATTTTTTAAAGCAAAGAAACCAAACAAAAGAGCAAACAAATTTTCTAGGGACTCTTACAATAATCTTAACGGGTACTACTTTGCTGTTTTAAAGAACTCTGTTCTTCACTAGGCAGCCGATGCTACCCCCAAAATGATGGCTATAGTTACACTGATTTTTCCTTGGTATCACACTTACATTGATCCACATAATTTCTGATATTATTGATATAATTAAATCAGTACCTGACTTGTTGCCCTGATGCTGATTTACATGCTGGTTTGAAAAGACTTTAGTGGATTTACTGAGAAGATAAAGGCATATGTAAAAGTCACACCCACTAAATGCATAGTAATGATACGTGAACAAAGGTAACTTCATACATAAAAAAAAATATTAATCATGTGTCAAGGTGTCTCTTGACAACCTCCAACTTAATTGAAAATAAGGTGTCTATTACAAACATTTAGACTTGGGAGATCAACAGACTAATCTGATGTATTTAAAGTTGGAACAATGAGGTATATTCTTCAATGCGATTGAGTCACAAAAATCCCAGGGGCAATTGAACGGATTACTAAATCATGTAATAGCTGATGCTTGTTTAATGACACCATTTCACAAAATAAAAGAAAGGGACAATATGATGTTTCACTTTTGCCTATAGGCATGAGGGGCTGTGTGTGGCAAGAGGTACTAGTATTGGAAAGTATTATCCAGTATAATCATCAAATTGCAGGTAAGATGCCAAATTACAGTTGTGACGCAGAATGAATTTCCACTTTTGGCAACTTTTTGTAGCCTCATGACTGACAAGTTCTGTCTTTTTTTTGCCAGGATATAGTCTATTGTTGTTTAAAAATTCCTGGACAAGTACAATACACTACTCAAATGCCTGAAGCACACATATAAGGAAACCACAGGGTACCAGAAGTAAAACATAGCAAAGCATCTTTATTAAGGAGTCAGGTTTTTATTCCCTTAAGTTGTTTTAAAGAATGATTTTTTTAACGCTCAAAAACAGAACTGAAAATAAGAAGCCAAAATATAAAAACCTTTAAAACTTAAACTATAATTATTCTGAAAAGAGTTTGGCCCACTCTGAAAGAACTGTTCTTTATCTAGAGATGCAACACAGTAAAAAGTTAAGCACAATTCCAATTATTTCTGCATTACCAGTTTGGGTAGCAAGTGGTTCTGGAACAAAAATAAATTTCACTCCCAAAGTTTAACAGATTTCTAATTAGACTCTGGAATTGGAGACAGACCTGCTGAGGTCTAAATCATTCTATTTAAATTACAAGACAATCAGACAAATAAGTTAACTGGTTCAACTTCTCACCAGAATAATAAGGAACACTCAAAAGTCAGGAAGAGTCCAAAGGGAGTATAAGGAATGGCTGCCACCCTTCAGCTCCTGCCTACTGATATTCATAAGCTCTTCCAGCCCAAACCGTAGAGGATAGCCCTCAAGCAGACTAAGAGGTGGCTCTTCTATAGCACCCTGCTCAGAAAGGGCTCACAGAGGAGAAACCAGAAGATGATTTAAGTGGTCTGTAAGTTAGGCTTTAAGCCCCACATGACCAGGAAGCATGATCCCAGCACTCTGCACAGCAGAAGAAAGAGGAATATAGCCAGGACAAACAAACAAGCAGGCCTGTCCAAGCATACAGATGCAAACTACTCCTTCTAAAGCAAGGCAGTCTAAGACTTGGACCAGGGCTGTAATATACATTCAGAAGGCATTCAGAGAAAGCTGTATATTCAACCCTGATCTCTGGTTAACTGCACATGTTTAAACACGCAATGTAGCACTGGCAGGTCAACTGACAGTTGAGTTTAACAGGAATAAGGAGTTCAAAACAATTCAGTACCGCATTCGCAATCCCAAGCACAAAAGAACCCAAGTACTGGCAGCTTCCCACCCAGCCCCAGAGTCACAGTGAACAAAGCTGTCTCATCATCCTTCTCCCATCCCTCAGTTCCAGGATATTCACCAACCAAAACATATAAAAAACTTCATATTCCTGGAAGTGCAGAATTAGAAAAATATTTGACGTTTCAATCTACCACAAAAGTTGCTTTAATAAGTTACATATCAGATGTTTCACTTTCCACAGTAGAAAACAGAGAATTCAACAATCAAAATGGTTAAAGCTGAAATACAATGTTCTGAATCTGTTTTGCACAGATAGGCCTGCTGTCTTTGCTAAAGAGCAAATCTGTTGACATTGAATATCTTAACACAGTGATCAGCTCCACAACTTGCAAGCTGCAACCACTTGCTGCTGTTCTGATCATTATGTCCAGCTCTGCCCACATGATGTCTCCAACATAAACGTTTCACAGCAAGAGCATGACTTTGGCTGAAACAAAAAGAAATCCATACATAACTGCAAAATGTCAAACACAGTTGGGCATGTGAATGTAAACATCAACATTTATATAATTAGTACTCTTAATACTACCAACTGAGGAAAAACTGACTTGTGACAATCAGCAGGTATTGGGTTCTTAAAATAAGTAGGGCCATTAACAGTAATGACATTTTATCCTCTCACTCATCAATAATTTAAACAGCTATTGATTTCAAGTTTTACCACATTAAGCTGCAGGTCTAGCATCTCAGTTACTGAGATATGACAGATTTCTGGCTTTTAGCCTGTGATTTCCTGTTATCTGGTGTCTCTTTCCAATTCACTTCAAGCACACACAGGCCAAAGTCACGATCAGCTTTCATTTCTGGTGCTACCAATGCCAGTATGCGAAGGAAGAATCTAGGTGAGTACTCCAAGTGAAACATTCAAAGTCTCTCTACAGAGAGTTTCTCTAGCTGTCACCACAGCAGCACCACATATAGCTTGTCACTCCTTTGGTTTCTGCTAGAAGCTGCTCTTGAAAACCTGCTGCCACCCACTCAAAAATGTTTTGCTGATGTATATAGACAGCAATTCTTTCCCCCCCGCCCTTCAGTGTTTCCTATCATCTTATTTTATGGCTAAAGGTAATAAAGCTTTTTTCCGTTTTGTTTTGTTTGTTTGTGTTTTTAAAGTAACACCAACAAAGGGTAATACTTCTCAAAGCATTTGTATAGCATGGAGTATTTTGCGGTTTAACACACCCCACTTGGTTTTTGTTGGGGTTTGTTGGTTTTTTTAATAAATCTAAATAACCAATATTTTTATTTCCAGATTTTGTTTAAAGACATCTTTAGACCTTCAGGGATCAGCCTTTTTCTAAAAGGATAACAATTTTTAATATACAAATAAACCAGTTTCATATAATTTTATATTATAAGAACAGACCTCCAGCACTATTAGTCTCAAGAATAATATTTCCCTGCTCCTAACTTACTTCAAAAGACATACCTGTTATCCATCTCAACACACATGGTCCAGTCAGCTAGTGCTGGTTCTTGCCCACTCTGCTTCCATGTGTACAAGATAATCTTCCCATTCTCTAATCCTACTGCAACAATATATCTATCAACAGAACAACTGTGTTAGTTCTGAAAGAGATTACAGTAGGCATTTTAATGAAGGCAGCTCTAGCAAGCTAGAAAGAACTAGCAAACACTGTGTTGCACCTTGCCCTTCAAATCAATATCTACTTTTTCATGAAAAAAAAAAAAAATCACAATTTAATTCAAAGCTTCTTCATAAAAAATGAGCAAAGCAGAAACCTACAAAATATATTTGGTTAGGAAAAAAATAAGGAGCTTATTACAGCACCAGACCAGTCAATATTATTGGAAGAATGAATGTGTTTCAGGTGCGTTAATGCCCCCCTCCCCTCTTTTTTTTTTTCATTACACTGTTTGAAGAAGTCACCATGCACCTGAAAAGGTGGCTAGGAAATAAAAAAGGAGATTTAATTTACTTCAAAGAATGGTCAAAATATTTGACAGGTACATTTTAGGAGCTGTTTAGCCACAGAAAACGGACTACAGGGGAAATAAAAAATACTAATTTCATATTAAACACAAAATGGCATTACAGAAAAACAGCAATACCTTCCATCAGGAGTAAGCACACGGCTGATACTAACAGCAGTAACAGAATCCCCGGCATCCAGTACTGTTGAACAAGGCCTGACTGAATCCAACATGTTCCCTTCAGTAGTCACAGATAAATCGCACTGGCCCCAGAGAATGACCTGTAAGAAAAAAAAACATCTAGGAATTTTCACTTTTATCTTTTTGTAAATGCATTTACAAAAACATAAGGAATAACTTTGTTAAAATACTCCCAGGGCACAGAACAAAGTGGATGACATATCTTGATGATATCCTAAAATATCTACAAGATTCAACTTTTTAGACAGTGTCTGATTTCATTAAAGATACTGACATTAAAACAAGAAAAACTTAAGACACCCATAAGAGTTATGTGACATACGCTTGTCTTACTGTATGAAAAAAGAAGGGAGGAAGTCCAACTGGCAGACCACAGTCTTGTACATACATATTCAAGCACTTTATTTAGCATAGGAGAGTCTCACTGATTTCTGTGGTAATACACACAATAAGCTTTCTGTGTATTTATAGAATATGGACTCATTAGAACACAGCATTTGCTAATCTAATGTACATTTGAAATAATTCTTGGCTTTTAAAATTCCTTTTATATTAATTACCTTTTTGTCCCGACTGCCAGTAATAAAATACTTGCTATCTGGTGTCCAATCACAAGACCAAATGATTCGACTGTGAACAGCTGTATTTTTGTCCGTGTAAGCACAGCAACTGAAAACTGGTCCTGGAATAAAACATATAGAGGAAAACCCTTGCTTCAGCTACTCTACATACCAAAAGTAACTGTTACTCTTACTTACTCCATGCAAGAACCGCAGGAATACTCAGACATTATTCCACTGATCTTTAAAGCAACTGGGAATGCTTAGCACCACATAGATATTTTTTTCCAACATTTACCACACTGACAATTAGCACCTGTTCAAGACCATATCTGTCAGCACTTAGAGCACTAAAACAGTAGGAACAGTTTGATCTTTTATACACGTATCTGTTTCAGAACAATTTAAGTCAAAGTATAAGACCTTCAGGTTCTTTTTATACATGTTTTTCATAAGAACACTGACTTCAAAAGTTTTAGTATAGTGCAGCGTTTACCATGTGTACACACATTCCCCAGTAATTTCACTACAGTTCCTATTTACCAGTAAGGCCCCAAGAGCTCAAATGATAATGATCTATTCATAAAGATTAATCTGTTACCAAAGAGACAGGCTGCCATTTCAATATGCATACAATCAGGCAATAAATCTGATCAGCAGATCAGTAAATGGGAATGATTTTAAGTAGAAAAGGCTGTCATTTTGGAACACAGACTTTAAATAACTGCTTCTTAGGATGCCAATACCAGCAGTTTTGCTTTACACTGGTAATGATGTTCTTTGTAGACAGAAAAGTTATTGATGAACAGATGAAAAGAAGACTTCCTCTACTTCCTATGAGAATTCATATTCCTTATCCTGAAACATTGTGTAACTACTGTGGACAATATGCCAAGCTTTAGAATGGAAGTCTGAATAGAACAGAAATCTCAAGCCAGGATACAACTGGACACTGTCTGAAGGGGCCAAAACTCACTGCCAAGTCTCTAGGAAAACTCTATAGAGCCCAGCAGTGTTTATGTGCTATTAAGCCAACAGTGCCATGATAAATGTTTTCGGCACAAGCATCTGATCTAGGAATCCATTAAAGTGTTCAATAGCAATCTCCTCATGATTTTGCAAGGCTCAAAGTCTTAATGAGAAAGTCGACTGAATCTTTACTATCAGCTCTTTTTCCAGACAGAGCCAGTCCTAGTCAAATTAATCAATTGTGTAGGATTATCAGAAAGCCACACCATAGATAGAGATTAATCCTGTCAAGAGCCTCAAAGTGTCATGCCCTGCAAACAGGGACAAGGCAGCTCTGTGCAGGACACGGGTGTAGCAATGAACCTTCCAGCCTAACCTGCAGAGATCACCAAGATGAAGGTTTTCCTTGATGCAATACCAATTTGATACTCAGGCATTACTTTCCAGCATGTGTACCTGATTTCAGTAAATCTAAAACATACAATCACAAGCAGAAGGACAAATAGCAGACTTCATCAATCAAACAGCATTTAAGGCCTGATTATATTCCTCTCCACATTTTAATTCTCTTTCTAGCTTTCCTATACACCATTAATTGCACTTCTTAAAGCCACAGGAGCCCACAACATTATTAATTCTTAAATGCTGTAAGGAAAATGGCCATTAAAATATTTTGCCAATTCTTTTTCAAATATTTTGAAGCCAAAAATACTGAACAAACCCTGAAGCCTTCATACAATCATAGAATCATTTAGATTTGAAAAGACCTTTAAGATCATCAAGTCCAACCATTAACCTAACACCACCAAGTCCACCACTAAACCAATTAAGGGTAGAGTAATAACGTCGTGTTTCCTGGCTTGGTGGCTGGATTATTTATAACGAAA